TTTTTTTCTAACAAGAGGCTGGGGAGTGGGTGGGAAGACAGGGTCTCACTCTACAACCCAGGCTGGAATGTATAGCACAATCATTGCTCACTGCAGCCTCAAACTCCTCAGCTCAAATGATCCTCATGTCTCAGCCTCCCAAGTAGATAGTACTACAGGCGCATATCACCATGTCCAGTTTTTGTTTTGTTTTGTTTTGTTTTTTGCTTTTATTTATTTATTTTTTTGAGGAGAAGAGGTCACACTGAACTTCTGGCCTCAAGCAATTCTCCTGCCTCAGCTTCTCAGTGTTGAGATTAGAGGTGTAAGCCACCGTGACCAGCTAAGCATCCAATTTTTATCTAGAAAAACTGGTGAAGACAAAAGGAGGCAAAGAGAAAAAACCAACATTGATGCAGCAGAAGGGTCTTATTTCAGATCTTGGTTCTTGTGAGCTGTTCAATCTCAGGTGATGCAGAGAACTCTCTAGGACTCGATTTGCTTGTCGTAAAATGGAAATCTGGATAGGATCTCAAATTAGCCTTAATAATTAAAGGAGACGCCACAGGTAAAGCTCTCAGCACTTGGCAAGCACTCAACACGTGAGAGTTGACTTCTACATGGTCATCCAGCATTTCCCATAAGCCAGGCTCTGAGCTAAGTGCTCCACAAATATCTCACAGACCCCCCCCACTACACTGACAGAGAAGAAAGCACAGAGAACTGAAGTATCCTTTCCGAGGTCAGTCAGCCAAGGTTGGGTCTCTGTGACAAGAAATTTCCTTTCTTGTCATTTAAGAAACATTAAGAAATTTCCCCACATTGTACTCTTAAGCCTTGAGAGAGTTAGGCCATGCCTGTTGACCACGCTCTTCTTTTTTTTTTTTTTTTTTTTTTGAGAGAAAGAGGGTCTCTCTGTTGCCCAGGCTGGAACACAGTGGCACACTCTCAGTTCACTGCAGCCTTGAACTCCTGGGCTCAAGCAATCCTCCCACCTCAGCCTCCCAAGTAGCTGAAACCACAAGCAGGTGCCACCATGACTGGCTAATTTTTGTATTTTTTGTAGAGATGGTGTTTTGCCATGTTGCCCAGGTTGGTCCCAAACTCCTGAATTCATTCAATCCACACACCTCAGCCTCCCACAATGCTAGGATTAGAGGCGTGAGCCACCATGCCCGGCCCATGCTGTTTTCCAAAACTTTCCCTAAGAATCTTCTCTAACATGGGTTTGTGGTTGTGAGGCATTTATTCTGCCTCAAGTTACAGAATCGGGGCCAACCAGGCTTTTCTAGAAACACCAGCACCTCTTGTGTTCCCTGCCATGAGACTCTCCACCAGTGAAGCCAACCTTTAAAATTCTTAGGAGCTCCATAAGATGCTTAATAAACCCTGATTGAATTAAAGGGCTAAAATGCCCGGGCATAAACATAGACTCTTGTGCTTTGGGGATGATTTAAGACCCTTACTTTCATTTATGTATGTATGTATTCATGTGTTTATTTGAGACAGGGTCCTTCTCTTGTCACCCAGCCTAGAGTACAATGGCACAATCACAGCACACTGCAACAATCACAGCACACTGCAACCTCCGCCTCCCAGGTTCAAGTGATCCTCCTGCCTCAAACTTCCAAGTAGTTGGAACGACAGGTGCATACCACCACTCCCAGCTAATTTTGTATGTTTAGTAGAGACGGGGTTTTGCCATATTGGCCAGGCTGGTCTCAAACTCCTGGCCTCAAATGATCTGCCTGCCACAGCCTCCCAAAGTGCTAGGATTACAAGTGTGAGCCACTGTGCCTGGCCAAGACCTTTACTTAATAGCAAACTCTAAGAAATGTCTATTTTTATTATATTTTAACTTCTTAGGACTTAAACTGTCACAGGTAACAGAGTCTGTCTTTCAATGCTGTACCTAGACTCTCCAAATCAGAATATCAAGGAAAGATTTTAAAGATGATTCGGGAGCTCAAAATATTAGAAGTACAAGGAACCCAGAACAGCCTCTTCACATTAAGTGCAAGAGAGAGGCCCAGAAAGCTGGAGAGATATGCCCATGCCTGGTCTGAGGCAGGGCCTGGCCTGGAGCCCTGGCCTGCTGCTCCCCCGTGGGGGCTTGCCCTCATCCCAAGTCTGCCTCCCTAGCTCATCCTGTCAGTATCTCCTCCCACAGAATTGAAAAGATGAGAAGGAGGGGATCATAAATCATTTTTCTCTCATGAGTTTATAGCGTTCTTTTCTGAGAAGTTCAAAAGCACTCAGTAATAAACCGAGGTGACAAGTTTATGTCTTTTGCTTTTAAAATGAAACTTTATTTGAACTCCTGGAGAGGCATTTATGTGTTTTAATTTAGGACATTCCTCTCTTATTTCAAGGTTTGCCCCATGGCATTGTCTGTGAGTGGGTGGGTGGGTGCTAGGGAGGGGTCAGCCTGCGTCTACGCCACTCCTATTCTCCCACAGGCTTTTCCGAATGCCTAGGCCACCTGCGGCGGACAGAGTCCTCCCTTCATGGGTTTTCATCAAGTTTCAACGTCCACAGGAAGGAGCCCTCACCCCCAAACTAGCTTGGCCGAACTTTCCGCCTATGCCTTTTCTGCCTCTCTCTACTGCCCGCTTCTTGCCATAGCCAAGAGCCAAGAAATGAATGGAAAATCATGAAGTCTGCAGGGACTAAGCTGCCCACGGGATCACTTCGTCTTCCTTTACCCTAGTTTTTTGCTAACAGCCCTTGGGAGCTCAGAAAACAAGAAAACGCAGTTGTTGTAGTTAATGAAATTGAGACTGAGAACAACCACACTTTAAGAAGATGATGAGAGAAAGAGAGAGGGGCAGCAGGAGAGCAAGAGAGGGAGGAAGAGAGAGACAGACAGATTTTGATTCATCGTACCTCCCACACTGGACCAGGCTTTAAACAAATGTGAAACCGCCTTTCTTTGGCCCAAGCTTTTGTACTAATGATTTTATTCAGGTGTAAACTCGAAGCCAAACTGCAGTGACTAACCATGTGTAAATGCTGCCTGCCACCAACCTTTCCCAGAGAAACAGTGGGGGTTGCTGCTTGCAAGCAGGTAGAACCACACGCTCAGTTTCTGGGCCTCTGCATTCAATAAATATTTGGTGAATGAATAAACTCAAGAAGCACTTAATGATTCAATATACGCCTAGGGTTTTTTATTCCCCCTGGCTTCACGGGCCAGCAGGCCAAATCACACAAAACTCTCCAAGTAAAACCACTACATGGTTGTTCCAGGCGGAGAAGGAAATAGCTGGGTTCTCTGGGTGACTTCAACAAGTTCCCCCACTGCTAAACCATGGAAGAACTATAGGGTGACCCTGTGATCCCTGTTCCAACCCAATTATAGATGCGAGAGACACAAAGATGGAGCCCCACCAGACTGGGGCAAAGCAAATGAAGCTAAGGAACCGATTCCTGCATAGCAGCACTTAAGGTACAGGAGAAAATGTTATATTAGGAGTATAATACCTACAAGGAAAGCACTGTTCCTACCCTGTAGATGTAGCTGGCATTTCTCCTAGGAAAACACTAAAATATTCTCAAGGGGGTCATTGCTCTCCTACCACCATTAAGCAACTCTGGCCAATTATTTAAACGATGAAGTATCAGGGCCTGAGCCACCTAAAACACCTCAATTCAACTTTGTGAACTGTAAACCAAACGGCTAATAATTCCTCTGGGGTTATTTTTTCCAACGAAGGGCAGGAGAACTTGACAAGTGACTTGAAGTTATTCAGAAGACAAGAGGGATGCAAAAACCACAAATAGATTAGACCTGTAAGGGTACCTGAGGTCAAAGGTCTTTCAGGAGACACTGGCAGGGGCTACTTCAAGTCTGGGAAAGGCTTCCTTCTCTAGCACCCTGCTTCACAACCACCCCTTCTTTCTCCTGGATTTCCCAAGAGAACCTCAAGAGGTCAGGAACCAGAACAGTTTTTTGCCCCAGCTCTCTCCCCACGGTACCTAGAATGGTAGCTTTTGAGAATACAAAAGATATCCAGCAAGTACCACTATCCTTAGGAGAGACCATCTTTCTCCCAACAAAATCAGAATTCAAATTGCCTTCTCTGAACCTTTCCTTTTTACAAAATGATGCAGTTTAAACAAAATCATCCAGTTTAAAACAGGCAGTTAACCTGTCATATTTTAAGACTGTTGATGAGTGGCTTTCCAAAGTAAATTTATTTCTATCTTATACTGCAGTCAAAGTAATGCTGACCCTTTTGGCTAAAAAGTCTTTTTCAGTCCTTCTAAATGGAGTGATGGTAGCCAATGGCAGCAAACATTTACTGAGGACTTACTCTTGTGTGAGGCGTTTGCATGTCTTCTCACCTCCTAACCACTTATGAGGTAAGTTCTAATACAGGACCATAATTGCTGTCTGCCATTCTGAAACCAAAAAAAGCTCTAAAACCCAAACATTTTTCCATAACTTATTTGGCAGCAAAACTTAAAGGACCTGAACTCATCTGGAGGCAAAGCTGCCGTGAACTAACATGAGGCTATTTAGATGGTAGTTATCCCACTTAATGTGAAGATCCCTATGGTTTGCTATACAAATAAGAATGTGTTTGGTTACTAAGTGCTTTACCAGCTCCCTTGGAGGTTACTTAATAAAAAATCTGTACCCCTTAATGCCTTTCTAAACCCCCTAAATCTCAGAATTCTGAAACATCTGGCCCAGGGTATAAGATAAAGTATCTCTATTATTAACCCATTTCACCATCAAGAGACTGAGAGTCCTTGAGGGAAGGCAACTTGCCCAAGGCCACACAGTGGACAAGAGGTAGCACCCACTCTGAGACTGGCAGTCTCTCTCAGAGTCTGGGCTTGTAAACACTGGTGGGCCACTACAAGGCATGTCTCAGTCCCCACCTCACACAACTTCAGCTGGGAAGAAGCACTGTGCCAGCATGGCTTTTCTCCATTATCAGCTATTTGAGGAATGCTGAAATGGAAGAGTGGAAAAACCAGAAATGCGGTGAATCCAAGGGCCTGGTGCTTACCTTGCCTAGGACAGTCAGGCATGGTTTTGGGTCCAATTCTGGCTGTTCCAGCTTCACCACTCCTACCCAGCCGTATTCATACAAGTCCTCTTCGTCATTGTTATTACATAGGCCCAGTGGGTGCATCTAGGAGATAAAATGGAAAGAAAACTTCAGTGGGCAAGCTACACTTTTGCTTGACTCACACTGTGTATTTCTTAGCTACTACAGCCAAAAGTAACGTCAAAACTTAAAATTTTAAAAGCAGGACAGTTTTTCAACCCAAGGGGAATCCTATTTCAGCACAATGAGCTGAGCACTGGGGAGAACACAACAGAGCCATATAAATGTATGTTTGCATGCTTTTTTACTGCCTTGTAAGTGATGGTGATCCAAGGTGTAAACTGCCCGATAGGATAGAGGGAAAGAAAACAGCACAATTCCCACATAAATGCCAATCTAAATTGCTGTGAAATACCATAAATTTAACACTAAGTAGCAATTACAGATAAGACTAGCTAGGTTAGTATCCAAGACTGTTTGGCTTCTAGACCTCAACAACATGTCTACTTCGACTTACGTAAGAGGATCTGGAAACATCCCCCACTTTATGCAGAGACCACTAGAATACAACAGAAATCACCAGTGTAATTAACAGGCTGTTTAAAGGCTACCCCTGGTTACTGGGAAACAGATAAAATTCTTTGAAGTCTTTTCAAAATTTGCAAAGCACAAAATCAAAGATGGGTAGATAGGCAGTGTCTAACTGCTGTGTGTACAAGTGCAGTCAAACCAGAACAACCCTAAGGTTTGTGCTCACAGTTCTATTATTGAATGGTACCAGGCCCTAGAATCCCTAATGACAATCTGAGAAGAGGAAATCCTCAGGGATAAACATAACTTATCAAGAAGTTGATAAGCCTAGCACTGTGTGTGCTAAGCTCTTAAATAAGTGGAAGAAATACGTCTTTAGATTCATGGCAAGTTAGAAACACAAGAGACCTAAGAATCCACTGTAGGCAGAATATGGCCCCCAAGATATCTATGCCCTCATCTCCAGAACCTGTGCATAAGTCACCTTACACAGCAAGAGACTTTGCAGATGTGATTGGGTTTGAGATAGAGAGACTCCCTGAATTATCCAGGTTGGCCCAACACAATCATCACAAAGGTCCTTATAAGGGAAACAGGGAAGCATGAGAAAGTCGGAGAAGAGATGCGATGACAGAAGCAGAGGCTGATGTGCTTTGAAGATGGAGGAGGGGGCCATTAATCAAGAACTGAGGAGGACCTCCAGAAGCGGGCAAAGATGAGAAAATGGATTCTCCCCTCAAGCTTCCAGAAAGAACGTAGCCCTGAACACCCGTTTGGGACTTTTGACCTCCAGAACTGTAAGAGAATAAATTGTGTTGCTTTAAGCCACTAAGTTTGTAGAAACTTGTTATGGCAGCAAATAGGAAACTAATATGCCCACCTTATTCCCTACTTGTTTTACAGATGAGAACAAAAATTCAAGATAAGTACAGGCAGCAAGTGGCATACCCAGAGGTGACCAGGCCCTTGGATTCACAATCCTTCCCATGCCACTTGTTTACTTTACCCTTCCTTCCTCTGAGAGCTGACTATCCGAAGGGGGAAGACTAAGAGATAAAATCCTTAGGAAAAAAAGTTTCCAGCTCTAAACCCTGTGGTATTCAAGCGTAACATGAGTTTAGTGCAGGCAGCAAGAGTTGCTAGAATGTTGGGGAAGCTTTGTGCAGCTGCTGAGTCTCAAGTGAGCTTCGAAGGCAGAGTTAGACTTATCAAGGCAAAATGAGACAGGGAGGTCAGTTCCAAGCAAAATGAGAGAGGGAGGTCAGTTGCTAAGAGATGATGTAGAACGGGGAGAAGAATGTATCCAGTTTGATGAGTAGGAAGGGTCACTGTCTACACTGAGAAAGAAAGAGAGGGGCTCAAAAACCAGGAGAGAGTCTGGATGCCACGACAGTATTACAGGTTCTCAGGCAGAAGATGATGTACGGAAAGATGTTATTTTAGGCAGGCAGGTAACTCTCTTCAGTAGTGGTATTTTTGGACTCCAGAGATAGCAATGAGTGGAGGGGCAAAGGGTGCAGGCCAAAGATGAGAGATCCTTGACAATTCAATGAAACAACAGGAAAGGGGTTGCACAAGCTCATAAGGCAGGTGAGAGGTCATCACTGCTGAGCACAGGGTGCTACAAGGGGCAACCAGCAGCTGTCTTTATAGTGGGTGAGAGATATTCCACCCTTTGGGAATTCCAAGATGTGAGACAGAGGGCCCTGGGATGAGACACTGCCTTGTCCAATTTTGCACGAGCCTTCAGGCTCACAGAGTTTGCCTGAAGGGCCAATGGAGGTTGTGAGCTGCCATGGGTGGTGCAACCTTTCCCCAGGATGTCCCTGCAGAAGTCAGCCCACTCTAGAAGGTTCTATAGTTATTAAACAATGAGTAGTCTGAAATGCTGAGACCTCTGACTAGAAAAAGGATGAGCAAGATGGATGAGCCAACTATGTCAACAGCTCAGGCACCTCTGACCTCCAGGAAAGGGCTCTAGACCCGGCTCACTCCAGCATAGTTCAAGCCAGCTTCCTGAAGTCCCAGGTCAAATCATGGTAATGGCAACTAGTATTCCAGGTTATTTTTAACCTGGCCATACAACTTGGAGGATGCCAGATGAATGGCTGCTTTGGGTTACTTATACTTTTTTTTTTTTTTTTTTTTTTGAGATGGAGTTTCACTCCTGTTGCCCAGGCTGGAGTGCAATGGCGCGATCTTGATTCACTGCAACCTCCGCTTCCCAGGTTCAAGCGATTCTCCTGCCTCAGCCATCCTGAGTAGCTGGGATTACAGGCATGTGCCACCACACCTGGCTATTTTTTTGCATTTTTAGTAGAGATGGGGTTTCTTCATGTTGGTCAGGCTAGTCTTGAACTCCTGACCTCAGGTGATCCTCCCACCTCCGCCTCCCAAAGTGCTGGGATTACAAATGTGTAAGCCACTGTGCCTGGCTGGTTACTTATACATTTATGGGGTTTGGCCAATGATAAAATACTGCTTTGGAGGAGCAGAGGTATCATCTGGGTCTAAGACCTTGCATTTATATCAAAACCTTACTAAAGAAAGAAGCCAGGCACAAAAACCACATATTGTATGATTCCATTACATGTCCAGAAGAGGCAAATTAATTGACAGAAAGCAAACTAGTGGTGGGTAAAGGCAACGGGGAGGGGGCAAATGAGGAGTGACTGCTCAGTGGGTACAGGGCTTCCTTTTGGGTGAAGAAAATGTTTTGGAACTAGATGGTAGCGAAGATTGCACAGCATTGTAAACATATTAAATGCCACTGAATTTCACACTTTAAAATGGTGAATTTTATATGAATTTAACAATTTAAAATATTAAAAAAAAAAAAAAAAGCAACTGGCTGTATGTGGTGGCTTATGCCTGTAATCCAAGCACTTTGGGAGGCCAAGGCAGGTGGATCACAAGGTCAGGAATTCGAGACCAGCCTGACCAAAATAGTGAAACCCCGTCTCTACTAAAAATACAAAAATCAGCCAGGCATGGTGGCAGGACCATGTAATCCCAGCTACTTAGGAAGCTGAGACAGAAGAATCGCTTAAATCTGGGAGGCAGAGGTTACAGTGAGTCAAGATTGCATCACTGCACTCCAGCCTGAGCAACAGAGCAAGACTCCGTCTCAAAAAAAAAAAAAAAAAAAAAAAAAGCTGGGCACGGTGGCTCACACCTGTAATCCCAAATCCCAACACCTTGGGAAGCCAAGGTAGATGGATCACCTAAGGTCAGGAGTTCAAGACTAGCCTGGTCAACAGGGTGAAACCCCATCTCTACTAAAAATGCAAAAAAATAGCCAGGTGTGGTGGCACATGACTGTAATCCCAGCTACTTAGGATGGCTGAGGCAGGAGAATCGCTTGAATCTGGGAAGCAGAGGTTGCAGTGAATCAAGATCGCGCCACTGCACTCCAGCCTGGGCAACAGGAGTGAAATTCCATCTCAAAAAAAAGCAACTGTCCTAAGAGCTTACTCAGGAATGACTTACGCCCTGCCTAGCACTGCCCTCAGCTAACATGGGGATCCCACAGTGAAGGACAATGCAGTTTCCACCCTTCCAGAGCCTACATGAATTACAGAAGTTCTTCAGGAAACTGTCCTGCAGAATACTACCTACCACACAAGATGAAAAACAGGTTCTTAAATAAGTAAATAACACTGAGAAACTCTTCATAGGGACTCAGGATCCATATGTGTAAATTAAAGCTCTGCAGTGGCCTATGGTTTAAAAAGGCTTTTAACCTTTGCTAAAACAACCACTGCCTACCCTTTGTTTATAAACTTGTTTTGCATTTAGTCTGATGACGATTTCGTGAGACACACTTTTAGAGATGCTAAGTTAGCGAGAACACATAGACACGCATGACAATAAAGCTACAGTAAACATGATGTGAGGCAAAGCTAAATGTCTGCAAGTGCTGAACATCCATGATGCAAAGACATAAGGCTGTGGTAGAAAGAGATGAAGGGACAGTCGAGGGCAGCTGAAGAAAAGGCAAGGCTTGGGAAAGCAGCAGATGTGAAGGACAGGGAGAAGACAAGGAATGGGAACCAAGAGGCAACTGGAGGCAAAGACGCGATCTGACCCACTGCAGCCAGTGAGGTGGAGTGGGCCTGACCAGGCCGGAGGCTTACTCTCTCGGAGGAGCAGAACACACAGCCTCAGGAAAGGCATGTGGAGAGCGAGTCCAGGCATGCAGAAATCCGAACTATGTAAGCCTCAAACACACCCAGGGGTCCCTCAGGGTCATCAGGGTCCCCTCAGGCTGTCAGGCCAGCGCCCTGGGCTGCACTTCATTGCCAGGATCTCTCCCTTCCTAAGCAGTCCTTCCCACTTCCCACTGTCCTCCAAACTCCTCTATCAAATCTTCCCAACACTGGAGTGAATGTTAGCAACTCAACAATGAAAGCCTTTAAAACTAAAAGGAATTTTCTTTTTTTTTTTTTTTTTGAGATGGAGCTTCGCTCTTGTTACCCAGGCTGGAGCGCAATGGCACAATCTCGGCTCACCGCAACCTCCACCTCCTGGGTTCAGGCAATTCTCCTGCCTCA